TTTTACCCTCCATCCAAACACTGGTGGTGCCCTTGAGCAAGGCACTGGACAACCCCCCACTCCCCATTGCTCCCCGGGTGCTGTACAATAGCTGCCCACTGCTCCTAGTACTAAGGATGGGTTAAATGCAGAGGCCAAAAGTCACTGTGTGCTGTGTGCTCTGCATGTGTGACCATTAAAGAGGGTTTCATCCCTCCTATTCTATCTCTATATTAAAAGAAAAGGTTTGGGGATAAATTAGGTCCATTAAATTGTCAAGCAAATTTTAGGCAACTATTTAAAAAAGTTTTACTAGAAGAATTGCAAAAGGGGAATGTTTCCTACAACTGGTTAAGAGGGGGGGAAAATGGTCTTACATTAAGATCAGTTTTATCAGAAACTGGCGGTAAAGGCTATATTTTAAACATGGCTTTTCCTCTACCAATAAGATGAGTGGTAGAAGAAGTAGAGGTTGTAAACAAATGCACTAGCTTTTGCAACGTAGCGCATGTAAGAAAATGCAGAGAGGTTGTTAGGTCTTTGAGATAGGGTGCCTCTCCATTTGTGGTGCTTAACCTTTATAACGGTATAATTTCAAACACCCGAAGGTAAAACCAACAGCTAAGCTAACGATAGCTTTTGGTCTGGTGGTCTTATAAGAGCATCTTTAGCAAGCTTTTTTAAAATGGTGTTTTTTTCTTTGATGTCAGCTTGTATGGCTCCAATTTTCATGTTTGATTGGTCTTGCAACACACAGATATGCGGCAGGAGAAATACAGCTGCTTTTAATAAGAAGTCTATTTGAAAGATGTGTAAATACAAATAAATCAGAAAAGGGATGTACAAACCTTGGAGTTGCGGAGTAGTGCTCTAGCCATACAAATCAGTTGTCTTTCTCCTACAGAGAAGTTCTCTCCGTTGTCTATTACTGTTGCCTGTAGTTTCCCCTCCAGTCTGGATATCTAAGGAAACAAAAAAATACTCATAGCACTTCTTCTACTACAGCTTTTATCACTTTTTAAGAGTGACGTAAACTGACACTGACAGAATTGTGAATGTACTTGGCTTCATATCGTACGGAGAACATACCGACTCCTTCATGTAGGTCTTCTCCAGCGCTGCCCAGATCTCCTCTTCATTGTAGTTATTGAAAGGGTCGAGGTTATACCTGTAGGCAAACACAGGCGGTATCACAGATGGTGAGCCGGTAAATAAGCCCCTACACTGAGTAGGGGGGGTGGGCCGGTGTTAATATGAACCTCAAACTAAGCTGGGCTTACCTGACAGTGCCAATAAACAGCACAGGGTCCTGGGGGATGATGGACAACTTGCTGCGCAGATCATGCAGACCGATGGAGGAAATGTCCACGCCGTCTATCAGGATGGTTCCTTCTGCTGGCTCCACCAGCCGGAACAGAGCCACGCCTAAAGAGGACTTCCCTACAGACACAGAGCATAGTTGCTAGGAATAGTAACCTTAACACTTTACAGAGATATGGTTTTAAATTCAGCAAACCACAGTCATGGCAACCAAATAACTTCCAGTGTGTAGGAGTAAGATGAATCTAGGCAGAAGAATACAACTATATTTTCATTATAATGTGTATAAACACCTGAAACTAAGAATGGTTCAGTTTGCATTAGCTTAGAATGAGCTTGATATCGACATAGGGAGGATCCTATCCACGGAGTCTGCCAAGTTGCACGTTTATGTTTCTAGAGAAGCCCAGAACGGACAAACTAAACACTGTCTCTACAGGCCCTTTCATGTTTTTGCGTCACCTGAAGGCAACCTCGCCTCTAGATGTCACTAAATGCTACTCACTGGACCTGGGCTATCAACATTGCATTATATAAGATACGTTATGATCTATATAGACAAAACGTTTTTTAATTGATGATGTTGCAAGTGTTTATATGTACATTTTTAGTACTTCACAATATTTTCTGAATTAACCATTAACACCAAACTATAAAAAGGAATAAAACAAAATCATCAGCTAACTAATGCTGTCAGTATCTTACCAGAGCCTGTCCTTCCCACAATGCCCAGCTTCTCTCCGCCTCGAATGGTGAAATCGAGCCCGTTCAGGACGATGGGTGTATTCTCTCTGTACTTCATCTTATAGTTCTGGAAGGTGATGGTTCCATTCTCTGGCCAGTCCTGTGCAGCCTGGGCCTCCTTTATGTGTCTTGGTGCTTCAGACTTGCAACCCTGTAAACAATGAAGAAAAAAAAGAGGGGTGTCAGCAGATAAATAAGTTCTTAGCACAAATAGCTTTAGCAAGACTTCCTCTTGAGTTTTTAAATGGGTGATTTGGTGGTCTTAGCCAGGCGACCTGTGTATAAGAGTATATTTTCCTCACCGTGATGTATTCCTGCAAGCGCTCCACTGAGTTGAATCTTGCCTCCACCTCTGTCGACTGTCTTACTACGTACTGAAGCACGCCGGTCAGCTGGAAACACACACATTTTGCAGTTTGTAATGTATTTCTAATAAAGAAATTACTGAAATGCTCATTAACTTGCTTGTTCGAATGTACCTGTATAGTGTAGGACAAGGCCAAGCCTTTCAAAGATGGAGAGATGTCTTCATTACTGCTGAGCACCACAAACAGAGACACCAACAAGGTAATGGTGCAAGCCATGAAGTCCAGCCAGAAGGAGAGCCAACGTGTTCCACAGTTGAACAGTAAGTAGTGGTTGGAGTTGATGTCATTCAGTGTCTTGAACCTGGAACATGATAAAGGACATGGGAGTGTTTGTGAACACATTTCCTTACCAGTGCTTACAATGCAAACTAAATCTGCTGCTTTTGCATGAAAGCAGAGAACATTTAATAGACTTTCTATTGGCATACATAAAGTAGTCTGGTCTCTTACAGCTGTATGTGGTTTTCTCTTATGTTGTAAGCATGGATGGTGCTGAGGCCCTGCAGGGTGGAGGTGGTGAGAGAGATGCAGGGAGAGCGACTGATGTTCTCCATCCTCTTCATCTGTCGGACGCTCCTCTGGAACATACTGCAGAGTAATCACAGAGGATATTCAGCATACCTTAAATAGCATTCTCGAAGATTTTCATTTAGATTAATATCTTGGAGTCTTTCATCTAAATAAATGTCACCTTCTATCATCTAATGGGTAAACACAATGGTTTGATGACCCATTGATATATTTCCGCTATTACATAACTGGTTGTCATTTCAAGAAAGAAAAAAAGATGCATTAGGTTCCTGCTACAGAACATCCTAGTGCTGTAGCATCACATTTGACTGATGAAATACAAGATGACGGTATATCAGTCACAGGAAATGCAATGTGTTGAGCGAATTTGAATGCTGACCGATATTTTTCATCAAAACACGCTTATCGCCATAGGTGCCTAGAATTTTTTTTGCTTTGAAACATTTTCAATAAAAATAAAAATCTTGCAAATGACACAAATTCACTAAATTCACTAAATGTGGGATCAGCAAATGTTCCGATCATATTCTCCAACACTCTTCGTAGAACATTTTTTTATCATGTTGGACTTATAGACGACATATTGTGCTCTTTTTCAAGTTCATATATGGATTTTGTGCTTCTACTGTTGTTAGAAGGCTTTACTGTTCAAAATGCTCTTTATTTTCACCCTCTGTCCGTGTGGGAGGGAAACTCCCTCTGGAGGGAACTTTGGGATTTTAGCCTTTGCAGACCATTTACATGCACACAAACCTGTATAGCACACTGCAGGAAAGGGAAACATCCACAAAGCATAATAAGGCCCCTTCAACTGGTGTCAACTCACAAGAGAATAAGGGTGAACAAGGTTGCCATGACAAGCACAGCTACCAGCATGAGGGGGAAGACGGCTGAGATGGTGATGATGGTGAAGGTGACCATTAGACTGAACTGAAGGAAAGGGTCCATGTTTAAGGGAAGCACACAGTCCACCTCCTCTTGATCCTTGGAGAAGCGGTTGAGTATGCGGCCTGCTGGCGTTGTGTCAAAGAAACTCATGGGACTGGAGAAAATCTGAGGAAAGAAACAAAACAAGAGACCACTTTATAATTGGCAGAGCTTCTACCAGGTGTTACCGAAGTCATCCGTTTCATGTTTGTGGTTAAAGTAGCAGTAGTTTGATATTTCTTTCAGCAGTACCTTCTTGAACATGCTGTTGTGGAGTTTGGAGGCAGCCGCCAATGTGACCCAAGTCCAGAAGAAGCATTTGATCATGGCAAGTAAAATCATGACGGCCACCATAATTCCATAAATAGTTTGATAGTATTGCAAATCTGGGTTTTTGGAGATGTCACCCTGGTTTGAAGATGTCCTATTGGATGACTGGGGAAAAATCAGAGAAAATTCATGATGCCAGAAAAAAACAGGGCCAGATGGTTCATTTAACAACACAACAGCCTTTTTTAAAAGAGTTTAAAATAAAAATATACACAAAAACTGTCTATAAGTCAATATTCTTCTGGTTTGAAATATTTTTTGTTGTGGCACTGAGTTGACAATACTAGTCATTATGTCTTTCCCCTCAGGATGTGGGGTAGTTTCTCTCTTTTGTAAGACTTTCAAAATCCTCGCAGTGATCATACATGTGTGTATGTGAAGAGTGTGTGTGCGCCTATCGTGGGGGGGGGCCCAATGCGCAAAAAGGAATGTGTAAATGGTCCGTTTGTTGGTTAGAAGACAAAGGGACATATTTATGAGCAGAATCCATATCTGTTTGTCTTGCAATGTGAGATCAACACATGTATATGATACTAACGCTGTGTTCAGAAGATGGTTAGTGTGCCTATACGCATTGCATTGAAACTAAAACAACAACTTGCAAAGCGTTTTCGGCCTTGCACACTAGTTAGTGTGTTCTTAACAGCTTGATTAAGCTATTGAGTAGTCTAGCTTTGGTGAGAGAGCCAATGCATTCTCTAACAATGTAACTGAATATCAGGAGTGTTAGCTAAGGAAGTATTTTAGGCAGGCTGCAAGTCTATTGATTGTTTTAGGGTGATTTTGTAGTCCTTTTGTGTCTGTATGTACGTATATCTTTTTCTTTGCGGTTATTATGGGTCTCCTCCTTGGTATGTGGTATTTGTGTGAAATGTTTTGATGAAGACCAGGAAGGTCCCTGTTGTTGTGTCCAGTTGATCTCCTGCTGCGGTTGTTCTCAAATGTTAAACTATTACCAATTTTCAGTTTGGCCTCAAACCGGAAAATTATGGTATATAGAATTTAAGGTTAGACTTTGCCACTTCACGTTTGTTTATGGCGTAATTCTGTCTCTCCAGCACACTTATCACAATGAAAATAGAGCCTGTTTTTTCAGCCTGGTCTGTCTGTTTCAACCCTCCTGTAGAGTACAGCTCCCTCAGTTTGTACAATGTCAATGTCTTTCTCAGGTCCCATCAGTGACTGTGGTTAGGTAGTATGACAATTTATATTTAGACGGTCAGAAAAAGTGTCTGTGTGTTGGTCTCACCCCGTCTCCCTGCCCTAGCCAGAAACTGAGCCACCAGTTGCTGAAGGCTGTGCTTCCGATCAACAGGACAATGTTCAGGAGGGTGAGGAAGCAGATGAAGTAGCCTATAGAAAAACAGTCACATCAAACATCATCAGTCCAAATGTCCCAGTTGTGTGTGTGTGTGTGTGTGTGTGTGTGTGTGTGTGTGTGTGTGTGTGTGTGTGTGTGTGTGTGTGTGTGTGTGTGTGTGTGTGTGTGTGTGTGTGTGTGTGTGTGTGTGAGTGTGAGTGTGTGTAATCAGACCTCCAGCTGCCTTGCAGTATTCATGGTAGACTCTCCATGGGACAACACCTTCCGTGGCCACCTCCTTAACGACCAGCTGATCACCCGCAGCAGCTTGAGAAGAAACATTAGATTTCATAGGATTGTAGCATGATCAACTTCGGACAAACACGGACAATCTCTTCAGCTTGTTTGAACCAAAGACTGCATTTTAGCCATGTAGCAAAGAGAAGAGGGAACCAGAAGTGGTAAAATACGAACTCATTTCCAGGTTTTATGGACTAATTCCTGAACCCCTCTTTCAAAATTGAACCATAAGACAATCTACGAGAGACTCGATATGTTACATTTTATGATTTAATGATGTAGACTTACATTTTAAAACAGCTGGAATTCCATCATCCTCTTCGTCCGGCACAAATGCTGAAAAGAAGCACGTGGGGGGGGGATATAATTAAATTACAGGATGGATTTTGTCCTCTATACAGAAGACTTTAATAAATACATAAACATGCACAAATAATTCAATATTAACAGCATATAGGTTTTTCTTTTCCTGCCTAGGTCCATTATTTTCCTTGATTGACTGCTCCCACAACCTTTTACCTCCTCCCGGTTATACTCTATATTAGCTCTTTAGCCAACACTTTTTTTTTTTACACTTTGCTCTACAGATTATTGTGCTAAATGCAAAATAGTGATGGGCAAAGTAATTATTTTCCGAGTACTGGATTATTAGTATCCTACGGTGGCCGACAGGTCCCAAAACATTTCCATTGGGAGAAACCCGCTGAAAATTCAGAAACATCTTCACTAACTTCACGACACATGTGCAGCATTTAGAAAACATTCAGCAATTTAATGAAACATGTGCATAATTTGCTAAAAGCGCTGCATAAACGAAACACTGCAAATAAAATAGTCATTAGTGTGTCTGAAAAAACACACTAGAGACAATAAAAAATCATGCACACAGCTGGGACCGGAGCGCTCGATGACGTTGGGCAATATTAAAGTGGACCTATAATGCTATATTTGAAACATATGTTGTAGAGACATACCTATATTAGACCCTCCAGAAAAACGCGATCCTGCGATCGCAGAATTTACCGCATAATCAGCAAAATGGCGCAGATTTTTAAAAGGACGCATATTTATCAAAAGGCCGCATAATCCCCGCATTTTTCCACACAAAGTTGAG